CAGACTCTAAAGTTAGATATAACTAACCAAAAAAAAAAACGATAAAATTCGGTATTATTAAAATGGAAGATCTTGAAACCTTGATCGCGAAAAACAAAAATCGTGCCAAATCAATAATTCATCTAGATTCTTGATAGAGTTATCTTTTTTTTTTACTATCATGTTTATTAATATTTACATATCTGAAATATCGTTGTATAAAGTTTTAAAATTTATTGAAGTCGATTTCAAAAAAATAGTTGTCTAATAAGTATTCTTGTCGAGACGCATATAGGGGTATATGACTTATATATTAAATACTAGCTTATCCCGTGCACTTCGTTTCCCGTTAAATGTACCAACTCTATATGATTCGTTATTTAATATTCGGTGTATGGTGTTCAAAATTTATCTTAACTTTTCTGTTGCCTGGAATAAAAATTCTGATTCGCAGCAGTATATTATCAAGTAGGCAATATACCTGCGGTTTGTACGTAACTTTATAATTTAACTCTAAAGTATCAAAGTTATACCAAGTATGTTACTGAACTCCTCCTAAACGGTTGGACTAATTGTGAATGCCGAGTCTGTGGACCAATATTTCCTCCTCGTCCACGTGATTGTTTTATGTACGTAACTTATATGTGAGTATAATACGCTCAATAATTACATAACTGTGATACATAATATAATATCAAAACACAGCGTACAAAAAAATTAAATGCATTGAATGAATACACTGATTTCACGGCAACCAATAATTATTATTATAATAGTTTTAAAACCCATGGCAACCATTTATAAACAAAAATGTCCACCCTAAATTTCAAATCCCCGTTTGAGCACATCCCTGATTGGACCTAGGGGACCTAGGTATAAGGTACGTTAAGTTCAAAAAAAACCATCAGGTGCATTTCAGGATTTTTTAGTGTACTAGAAATCGTCTTAAGAGAACGCCACACTCGCATGTATTTTCTCCGACTTACAAGCGTACAACACGTCAAAATTAAAGTTCACAGGAATCGATCTAACTCTGTTATTTTTAAAATTAGAGTGAATGGACTTATTATACAATTCAAAGATAAGATTATTATCCAGGACAACTATTGGTGGGTTTTATTTATATTTTAATTACAATGTAAGTTATGAGCATTTTAAAACTGTATTTTTTTTTATAAATATTTAAATCATCATAGTTTGCTTTAAAATCAAAATTCAATTAGAGTGATGTCCTTGATAATAATCTTACCGTTACATGGTGCAATAAATTAAGTCACTCTAATTTTAAAAAGAACAGAGCAAATTGGATTGTTGTGAACGTATAATTTTTTATGTTGTATACGTTTGTAAGACTTAAGACGGAGACAACACATGTGGGTGTGTCGTCATCTCAACAAGAAATTGATGCAATTTAAAACATGTTGATATTATTTAGACGCAATAATTGCATCTACAAGCATAGAAACATTAGAATAATCCCATAGAGAGTGATGAGCAATTTAAAATCTACATTTTGTCATTAAAATATATTATATTAGTTAGCTGAACATAATATACCTATCACCTATGTTTATAAATTATGTGTAATATATTATATTTAATGATTTATTTATGTATATTACAAAAATAAATCACGGACAGGAATTATTTTGTCACTCAAGAAATTGAAATTATTTCAATCTAATTATACGAGTATTATACAGGTCATTATACTATATACACTATAATATAATGTAGGTAATTTCTCACTATTTAATATTTCTATGCAAGTACATAGATATGTATACTGTATATTATGTCGTATGGGATAATATATTGTGTAGGCACTATGGCCACAACCAATAAATAAATTACAAAATAATATTATGTATGTTATGTATAGCACATATTATTATTATGCTCAATGATTCTGTACGACTTAAATAGGGCACTGGCCACTGGACTAGGGACGTCGTATAAAAACTTAATATTACATATTGTAAAGGAGGATAGCTATCACTTAGCGAGGAGTCTATACGATTATAATAATATGTTGTGTGTCGGCCACAAGTTTCGTTTGGGAAAATAATACTCGCTATATCCTCCTATTCTTCGGCGCTAAAAAATCCAATCAATGTTATATTATTGCACACACTGTCGTATCCCACGATAGGACCACTTCGATGCTCGCAGTTGTCATACGCAGGGGCATGCCTGGGGGGGGGGGGGGGATTTTCTGGTCTGGACCCCCATTGATTGACAATCGATTGACAAAATTTAAAATTCTTTAGGTGAAAATCACTTATTGTATACTTTTTACATGTCAAAAAAATTTGGTACCTCCCCTTTAAAAATTCCTGGGTACGCCCCTGGTCACACGCAAGGTAATAATATAGGTACAAAGATGGGAAAACAACAAAATACGACAAAAATGTACGTCGAACTCGTTGGGTAATTGTTGAGGGTCCCACGATGGAACATAATATTATATGCTACCTATGCAATATAGGTACTAATATCATTTAAAGTAAAGTATGTGATCTAGGAATCGCATTTCCGCGACGGAACCGTTTCGGTTTAATTCACGAGCTCGCAGCAGGTACAATGCATCGAAGGTGTAAACTATAAATAATACGTGAACGCCGCCGATAATCTATCGGTCGGACGTCGCGTAATTCTTCGATTTTAAAGGGCCAGCGGTACGTACACAATTTACAATTTCATTGCATTTTATTAATATAACGGTCCGCACGTCACACTATATACGCTACGGTGCTGTATTTTTTGCTACCGGGGGCGATAAATCCGTGCTGGAACTTTCTCTCTCCGTCTACGCGATCTATGTCGCCGGCGGTGGCGGCGTCGCCATTGACGATGTAATTTATTCGCCGACTTTTACATAAAACTATTATTATTATTAATAATATTTTAAACGTATTTATGTACACAGACCGGGGTTTAATGACTGTCGACGTATTAATAGTGTAATCGTAAAAAATGTATATAGATATTATTTATGTACATATATATATATATATAAATAGAGCTACATAAATAATTTATTATATACATAAAAAATCTCAATAAAAATAATGTTCCGAAATGCGTGATCATAATAATTCATGTTTTTGATTTGTCAAAAAAAAATGTGGTAGGTATATACCAACTCTAAAACGAATAATTAATACATTATTATTATATTTACGCTAATACAATAATAATAATAAATATATTATACACTTGTTTTGACACTGTTGCAGGAATTAATAATTTCTGAAAATGCATCCCCCTCAGGTGACAACGAAATTCAGTGGTAGTGCAACCAATATCCGGATTTTTTTGTTAGTTGGATAATCCTATAACGTACCTACCTAATAACCTATACAGTAATTAACTGGCATATTTTTCTATCAGCACCTAAATAAACAACGTTCAAAATATTAGGTACCTTTATGTTTAGAAATCCCACTATATTGATTTAAATAATTAATGAAAACAGTAAAAGTTTTACTCTGAAAACTTATCTATACATATAATACATTAAATCACATAGGTACTACCTGATACAGTGATACCTATATAAATTATACTTCGACTGCATCTTATGAATCAAATATGATTTGCCCGATATTTTTAAAAAAAATATTGGTTTTCTAAAAAAAAATTTTTTTCAACAAAAAATAATTTAAGTATTTTAAGTAATTCGTCCTTTAAAAGTATAAAATATTTTAAAATTGATTAAACTTAAAGAAATCAAAAAAAAATAAAATCTAATGAAATCTTTAAAATCTAATGTTAAAATGCTTTAAAGTCAATATAAGAACTTATATTAAATTCCAGTACTGTCGTACTGTATTATATTAACTGAACATTGAACCCTTTGAAAAGTGTTCTTGTCTCGAGGGAATTAACGGAAAATTGTATTTTTGAATGTCCTTTAAAAAATAAAGAATCGCTACTCATAAAAATGAATGCCATCGGATACGTGGAAATGGAATAATAAATAAAACTGAAGGAGCAAAATAAAACAAATTTGGTACCGAAATTATGTTTATGATTTAACCATATTTTGAACAATGCATCATAGTTTCATGATAAATTATAGTACCTATAGTCAAAACTATTTTAAATAATAAACACAGAGTAAAAATAATATAAATATTAAGTAACATAATATAGTATATATCAACCTTAAATGTATTTGCTGATAAGTTAAATTTCTGTAGGTTTACAAACAAAACAATTTTTATAATACATTTTACCATACAGCGTATTATACTTGGGGAAATAATTGAAACTGAACATTCCTCTTAAGACAGTGATAAATATACTATTTAAGAATAATAGATGTAATGGATTTTATATTTTATAACCATAATTCTACATATATCCAACCAAAAAAAATAAATTGTAAGCATCATATCCTAGCGTATACTAATTTTATTTTTATTAAGGTTTATGTAGCATCAGAGCCGTGTTAAGGGGGGGCAAAGGGGGCAATTGCCCCCGGGCGCCATAGTTTTGTAAAAGTAAGGGGCGTCGTTATTTGAGCTTAATATGCTACTTGGAGCCCAAATTGTAGGGAAAGGGCTCGAATTGCCCCGAGGCGCTGAATTGCTTGACACGGCTCTGTGTAGCAGTCAAACTGGTGTAAAATCATAAGATTGAACAGTAATACACTTTTTTGGTATAGGTAGTTACAGATATTATCTTTATTTTTCCTATTATACAAATATTTAAAAATTATTGGTTATTTACTCATCAACAAGTAAGTACACAGGGATATGATATTCTTAAATATATCAACACTTGCGCTATTAAGGTCATAGACAGGTTCATCGATTGTGGTAGTCTTCGGGTTGGGGTGGGTAGGAAAAGGGAAGGTTATATAATATCTTATTTTATTCGATTTTGCTATTACTTTTTAAGAATAATAATATAATATTAAAGCGTGATACTTCACACTATTGCCTATTGAGTACTTGCTTCTATGGTACCTATATTGCTGCAGCTATATTTAAGAAGTTTAAACTATTACTTACGTTCACTAAGGTGTGTAGAGATTCGACATACGAACGCTCCGTATCATAAAGCTCAACCACTACATGTGTTCTCGTATCCTGCAACAAAAAATATAATAAAAATCTAATTTTTAGAACACCATCGTTATTATAGTATACACATTATAATTATTTATATATTATGTAAGTGTGTGTGTGCTTAAAACGAAAATTAACGTGTGACGTCTGGCCATATAAATTATTTTAGATCTTTTTTTAATTCTTTAACAACCGGCAATGATTTTCACTCCCTCTTCATCGTCGTCGTCTTTACTCGACCGGGGATGGCGCGTGGCGGTAAAGAAAATGTATTTTTTGGCCAACTTCCTAACAAATGGCGTGCGTCTGGTGGCGAAAATGACGTTCGCAATAATAATATTGTCGTCACGTTTCCTCGACCGCCTCTGCTTCCATCACACACCCCGTCCACCCCTACCATCCCCCATAAAACGACATCGGTAACAAACGCCAGCAGCGGCGCAATAGGTAGGTACACGATAATATTATACAAGACGAGACACGCGCACATAATATACGATATCTCCAAAGACTAAAATACACTCGACGGGTGCTCTGCACCATTGACAACGGCGAGGACGAGGATAAATCGAAATTTTAATTTGCCAAAAAAACGCGTCCGTCGTCCCGGCGTTTTGCGATGATTATGCGCGTAATCGTAAACACATAAAATAATAAAATATAGGTACATACGCGGATTGTGGCCGAACACGATAGGTACATAAATAACTAATTATAATATGATATTCTAGTCTTTGCTAATGGGACTCCGATGGACGGCCGAGGGGAAGTAAACTAGTCGTTATAATAGTTATATAAGTAATACGACCCCTACACATAGAGCAAGTCCTCTCGTTGGTTTGCTCATTTCGTGATGACGTAAGTCCGGAGATGTCATACTATATAGGAGCCAATGAACCACTGCACCCCGACCCCGTTCATTACCGGGTAAAGTTATAACGACGTAAGGGGGCGACATCCCGAGAAAGATGTTATTTTATAAATAGGTATCTACACAAACTACATACGCGTTTCCGAGAACGGAAACAGCGCCTCGAAAGGGTTGTAGAGAAGACATGTTTTCTATCCGAAAGAGACATCCAATATAGTTGCGTAACTTTTGTTGAACCATGGTCCATGGTTAATACTTTATTATGTAACCGTAAAAGTGTAAAACAATATTTCGTGTTGGAATATCGATACGTTTGTAATTTTGTGCATTGTCTAGCCGATCACACGCTTATAAGTTATACGTTATAACACACTTCAGTAATATAATAATATCCTAAAATGTATCATTAAAATTAATATGAACAAAAATTTGTACCGGGCACCGGTGATTTTATAAATTATAATTGATAATAATAAATTTGTATTAATATTTTAGAGCGGTATTTATAAACATACGTACGTGTAACACAAAGTTTAATAATTAATTTAATCAACATTTAACGATAAACCGATTTCAGATTTTCAAACCGATTTAATACATTAATTTATTCACAGTAGGTATATATTATGACAAATAATTTAAATTAATACAACAGTTAGTAATATTATTTAAAAAGTAATTTATGAAACACTTGTCGCTTTTTACGGCATCCAAGCCTCTTTTACCCATATTGTATGAATCTTTAATATTGTTAAGAGGATGTCAGAGCACTATTTGTTTTCTCTCTCTGGCCCACTCTCAACATGGACAAAACGCATTTACGCAGAATCATTTGCGTAAAAATATCATTCGCGTGGGCCAGAGAGAGAAAACAAATAGTGCGCTAACATCCTCTTAAGACTATTTGAACATTTGAACTCTCAAACAATTGTTAACACTTAAAGTTCTTATAACAATACCTTTAAATTGTATCTCAAAGAGAAAAACAATAAAATAAATATTAATTAAGATGTGTCGAGGTACATACACCTAATATAATATTATAGGTAGGGTACTATACTATGTCTAATAAATTATTTGTACATTTTCGTTTTTGGAATTAATATTTTAATTGCATAATTCTTATTGTTTATATTATCATATACAAATATTTATAAAAGCGTGGGCTTATGTTTGAGTTGTAACCCACTGAGAAGAATTTTCATTTCAAATGTTTTTTTACTATTTGTTATGTCTATCTATCAAAAATGTGTCTCCAAATACGTCCAAGTATTTTATTTTTTTTCGAGAAATGTTTTAAAAAGTTATTTAATTTTCTTCGAATTAAAACATCAATTTAGTTTTTAACTATTAACACGGGAAATGAAAATATGTTATTCGTGTATATGAATTTTATATGATGAATAAAATTTTTATTCCTGTTAAAAAAGAGGAAGTAGCCAGGTAAAAATCTAATAAAAATATTTGTTGTGGCCGATCTGAAAAAACTCTACGCACACCTTCGTGGTATTAATGCTGGAAACGAAATTAAAATTAATTTCGTAAAATAATAATCATACGGTCACGAGGATACACTTCTAGATTGTTTTCAAACTTTCATCCTTCTCCTCCTACTCCTTCTCCTCCTCCTTATTCTAAACGTCTAAAAAAAACCATCGAAAGTACCACCCGAAGACAACGGCTCTTACCGGTGTGGCGACTTTGACGGCGGCCAATAGTTGTTGCGCGGCTGTTGCTGCGTTTTCGTTTAGTGACCGATCGTCGTCGTCATCTCCGTGAACGGCGTTCGCAGTCATTACACTTCATATTGGACACTTGGTCGTCATTGGGGACTGACGATAATGATATTCCATCGGAACGCGGTCCAGCGACCTCCGCGGATTTCGTGAATATTATATAGGTATTATACCTATACCTATTTATAGTGTACCGGTACCGCGGTATCAGTTGGAGGGGCCGGAGGAAATCGAAAATTAACCGGTGACGGATTTGCGATTAAAAAATGAAATGCGAAAAAAAACCTACAAAAGCTCAACGCGATTACGCACCCTCCGCGTTCGAGGCGACCAACGGCTGCCGTGAAAATCTCTGGCCAATAAGTGTATATTATACAATATATTATAATTTTATAACTATTGGTATTATATTTTAAAAGCGCAAATAATCGCGAGTGGTCCGAAGACGTCGACTGTACCACCTGCAGTATCGCCGACGCTGGTGCCGAGAGTGTATATAATACGTACGCCCGCGCCGACGGACGGGTGGCGAGCTGTAGACAAGCGGGCAGACTCGAGCACGCGCGGCTTACGTCACGTTTAATACACGCGCGACATGACGAGAGACTCTGACGGGCTATGTAACATTATTATTATTATACACGCGCGCTACACACACAAAATTATTATATATATATATATATATTATTATTATTATTATTATATACGTAGTTTGCTATTTCGTCGGTCTCGTTGCTATGGACACGATTCGGATAAAAGTCGGAAAATCATCCATTCAAGGACTATATCCGTCGAATGGTGGTGTGGGTGGTCACGGTCGGAGGGTGATGCCGTTTTCTCCCGACACACCTGTTGTGTATGTATCGAGTGTGTGTTTGTGTGTAGTTGGAGGATTCCACTACCCCTTCCACCACGACACCCGTCGGGAGTACCGACTAATTTACGCACCACACATCATATAATGGTTACAAAAATATACGGTTTGAGCTTGTTGTTTTTATGAGATGTACCACCAATTCCTATGCGCTGTACAGGGTTTGAATAATAATTATCCGTTACCATGTCCCAGGGGCGGATTGGGGAGAGATTCCGGCCCGGGAAAATACAAAGTACTTATACCGGCTTACCAATTTACCAAATATTTAATTTTAGCCAACATAATATTATTATGTATTACTATTTTAACATAACTACACGTTTGGCAAGATATGAAATTTATAAAACTTTATTCGTAGTGTATATACATCGATATCAAATTTATTTTTATTTTTGAACAGTTTATATGTTTACACATTTATAATAGTCCAAACTCTAAGTACTTATATATAACACAGTAAAAGTGAATAATTTAAATTACTAATGTTACGATTTTTGTATTTAATAAGAAAGGTTATTACCTATTCAATAATATTTAATAATGCGTTTTTAGACTTAAATAAAATTTTATAATTTACTTCCACAATCCACTTAATATACCTGATAGGTAAATTAACAGAATCAACATGCAAAATGTATGTGTTTTTCTTTATTTTCTAAAAAAATGTTTTACTGTGGTTTATTCATAATAACATTATGTAGGTACTTCAATTCTAAACCATCAGAAAAATTGTATAGTCTTGTTTTCCTTTAGTATTATTATGTAATATAATATTGAGTAAAATGTTTTGTCTCCGTCTTAGTACAATCTAACAAATTATCGTTCACTATCTGTATTCACCGATCAGCCGAAACGATATAATAATAATATTTAGCTGTAGTAACTAAATATTATAGAAATTATTGTATACCTACGTGGCTACGTAATGTTACTTCCCTATTATTCAATAATTTATAAATTCGCCTAAACGATCGGTTAATTTCTGACCCAAATGATATATGCTTTACTCAAGTTAATTTTGGATTATTCGCCCAAACGAATGACGCTCAAATTTTTTACACCCGAAATACGTGTACTACTGTATTAGTATTAAAAAGTGTATAAAACATTTTTCGGAAATTTAAACACTGTTCAAAAGTTACAGCAAATCATAGTTTTTGAATATTACAGTGCTTACTGCTCAAATCAGGTTGACTTTTTCTATTTTCTACTTCCACGGGATGTCAAGTAAAGTAGACTTTTTCCGAAGTTTGTCGTTACCTAGAGATCACCCAATGTGGTTTTACATAACATATCAAGGGTTGTTTTCGATTTTAACTGTCCTAACTAGTGACCCCGCTATATTACATTAAATATTTGCTGTTTTTGCTTTTCGAAAAATACTATATTTTTGCTTTCTGTCTCTCATCGTTGTGCCATCATAGATTGCCTACCTGATATACCTACTATTGCATACTGTCCGCAATCCAATTCGTATTATCTTATTTTGAAAAATCGGGAAAAAAATGCAAATTTACTGGGCTGGTACCTAATAGGA